ATAAACAGACCCACAGCCAGCAAGGTAAGATGGATAGCAAGACATTCATTACAAATAACTGCCGTGCTTTTTCCTTTTGATCCTTTTAGACTTTCTCCCTTCCAGATTGTCCTGAACAAAAAAAGACCCGAATTTCTCACAGCTAGAGCAGACTCCTCTTTCTAAACATATCAGTACTGTGCAAACTTCTCGTTTTCTCTACAGCTCTTTTACTATTTCCAGAGATACGTGTTATTGACAACTTGGAGAAATACATTAACTGTGGATCTGATACTTCAAAACCTCTTGTGCTTTAAGATGCAAGTACATAATAGAGTTAACCTCACAGAGAAGACACACTCGATAAAATAAGAAAAGTCTGATCAAGCAAGGGAACATGTCCTGAACTGAACCCACAGGTCCCTCAGATTAACTAGATATTGGGTTATTTCAGGCATTAAGCAGAGCCCTCATGGACTCTCATTTTCACAGTCTCCCTTGGTACATGGTCTTACAGGTTTGCTTTTTATTTCTGGGGTACGTCAGTGTGGCAGGATCCTGAAGAGGGATGGGATAGGATACAGGACACTTTGTAACTAAACTCCCAGAGCTATTGATGCTCATAAGACATGAGCTCCTTGGAGAACTGTTCAAGAACTGCAAGGAAGCCTCAAAGCCATCTGGTTTTAAACTTTTTCCTCCAGATTTTGTACAGCACTAAACAGGGTCAACAGTGACAGCAAATGGACTGGAAATTCCTCAGTTTCAGGATTACTCACTATTTCTGCTCTGTTGCAGCTTTGAAAGAGCACATTCTCAGGGAAAAAAAAAAAAAAGCATATAATGTAGAATGTAGAACAAGAGAGAAGACACTAAAAATTGATGTGTGGTCCAGGTGAACACCATCCACCACTCTTAAGAGCAGAGTGATAATGATTGCTGCCCAGAAGGAAGGTCACTCTGCCCTAATAGATGGTGTCAGGACCTAATAGGGAAGCAGGTGTACCTAACATGTCAATCACAGCTAATGAAGCAGGAACACTTTCATAAATACAGCTTCCAGTTGTGCCCCGTGTTGTACTCTGTGAGCACAGAGGAGCTCTATGGACATGTTATTGCAGCATTAAAACAGCCCAGCTTTGTTTTGCCAGTTTGTGAATGACCCCTACATACAGTTGTGTTCCTTGAAGGGCTTCTGAGATCACAGCAGCATCTCTTGAAGTAGCCTTGAACTGAAGAAGCTGCATACTTAAACCAGGTGACGAACAGCAGTGCTTCATTAGCAGCCTGCTGCAATGTTATGGTCTGATAGGTGCCAGTGATTCATGATGTAAAATTCTATTTCATTACAGTAATTCGATTTTGTCAGGGTAGGGGGCCAGTGTTTGGTTTGTTTCAGGTACTTTCATTTCCCCAGAAATACCAGACACAAATTAGCAGGAAGGAAGGAGAAATCTCACAGCCATTCCTATGTAAAGCCCTGTGTTTAGGTTCAAGTGCAGGAAGCACTGCCAACACTGCAGGCAGGTGCCCTCCGGAAAGCCAGAGCCACATAAGCCTGCACTCTTTTACAAGCACAAAATCAGCTACAACTTACTCTCCCAGTAGGGACCCACCACATGTATTCCTCTCTCATCACTTCCAACTCCTGCTCTGTTGCCATACATCAGGTCTCTATCCAGAATTTCTCCTCTCTCTGTTGCAGTGCTTCCCAAGTATACAGAGCCAAGAGCAGACGTGAAAGGTGGATTCATTCCTCTGTGCCAGCTGTATTTAATGCACAGATCCCATCCTGCTCTCAACACAGAATCTTGCTTTTCTGTCCAAAAACATTAGGATCAAGAGCTTTCTCTATAAATACACATTCTTCAACATATTTGTTTAAAAAGTGACTATCCTGAACTGGAGTACCAAAGATATAAATTCATAAGTATTTTACTTGCTAATACTTGGTTTGTATCTATTAAAAAAAGTGTCCCTGAATACATTCAAAGCCATGGTTTGCTAGGCAAGGTATAAACACATTCAAAAGAAATCCGTACCTGAGAACTTAGAGACAAATAAGACAAAGTGGGAAGAAAAGAGGAAACCGTTACCCTTACTTTACAGAGGCTTAGAAAGATTGATGTGACTTGCCCAAACTCCTGTAGAAACTCTGGGGAACTGAACAGAGACCACTGGAGTCTCAACACAAAAATCTTAATTACTGAATCCAATTTTCCACTCTTCCTTTCATATGGCTTTTTCATACATTGAAACACTTCACATAAGCTTCACTTCTTTTCTCCCAGGAGGAATAGCAAAGGCTGCAAGTTGCCCTTGTTAAACTAGGTTGCAGATCCAAACAAATTTAAAATGATATCTCAGCAAGATTTTGCAACCTGCCTGTGACAAAGAAAAGGACTTTCACCCTGAAAACGCATGAGCACTGGGGAAGACTAGCTGAGAGAATTTAGCAAGGCTCTTAATGAAAGAGCTGAGCTACAGTATGTATATGCATGAGCTCATGTATTATTTAAACCATTATGATCAGAATAAGCATTGTGAGCACAGTACTGAAAGTGTCACTAGCATTCATGCATTGAATAACTTGCCCTCATAAAGGTATAATAATGCGTTCATCAGTTTTGTTTATACTCCCAAAGCAGTAATAGCATGAACAGAAAATAACCCTGTATGTTGCAAAAAGCACATAAATATAAATCTAATTATATCTCTCCTTGATATTATGACCAAGAAATGATGAAGCTCACTGAGGAATAACATCTGAGACTAAGTGCATTCCTAAGAACCTTTGTGTGCTGCTACATTCAAACCTAGCCTGGAATTTCATGGGTTAAAACAAATCTATCTTGCCACAGCCAGTCAGACTGCCTCAGTAGCCTGGTGGTAGGTCCTTTCTCTGACAGGTGGGAGATTCAGACTATATTTTCTGTGACACTGGTACAGCTCACCCAGTGCTTGCTGCACCTACCACACAGCTTTCTCTGGGTGCCCCAAGGACAGACAGTTAAATGGCAGTGCTGATGATGGCTCCCTGGGAGGATGTCCTATCTTCAGTGCTCCCAAGGATGACTGTGACACATGAGATGGTGGAGAGGATGAGAGAGGATAGCAATCATAGGAGAGGCAAAAGATCGTGGGAGTCCTCAAGGAACACCAAAAATCATTCACGCTTAAATTCATACACGCCTGATCAACAGAAAAAAAATGAAGTCAGAATCTCAAATTGACATGTAAAAATAAATGTAAAAGCCATCCACAGATTGCTGATTATACTCAAACAGTTGCTTCAGTACAGGTTTTCTATACTAAATTGACTTTAAGAGCAGCCATCTCAGTCTCTTGAATTTTATTTTACCCTTTTACACATTAGTGAATTGTACTTTCATGTGGGAAACTTAAGCAGCAGTCTGTTCTTGCTGGTAAAATGGCAAGACTCCCACTGGTTTCATTCAAAGGTTCAGGCTGTTAATGATGAATCAATCAATCAGTCAAGATATGAGAAGCTGCAGAGAGAACAGTAGCCAAAATTGGTCTCAAAATTCAGTGAGCTCATGTGTTCTTATGCTTATTTCATCAGCTGAATCAGGACTGCTCTCAGGAGTAGTGAGGAAAGATGCATATCTAGGACTTCGAGTAGGTGTGTTTGGTAAACTATTCACTTGGTTATCTCACTGCAGTTCCTGCATGTGAAAAGATTCAAAAGAGCTCGACACAATAGGAGTGATGCTGGGTGGGCACTAGGATTAGAGTGGGCAGGGCAAGGAGGTGCCAGAATAGGAGAGAATGAAGTGTCAGAAGCCCAGGCACTGCTAACACACAAGGCAAAGAGCAACCCGATCTAGTGGGAGGCAGCCCTGCCTACAGCAGGAGGTTGAAACTAGATGATCTTGAAGGTCCCTTCCAACCCGTATCACTCTATGGTTCTATCACTCAGGCCTGCACATGCTGTTATCTGCACCAATCTTTTGTCCTCAATCCTTTTTGCTGGTCATTTACACAAGTGTGAAAGCAAAACCACAGCTAAGCGAGCTACGTTTAGGAGAGATATCTAAGACCTTTCACCTGCCTCTTCCAGGAAGCACTGTGGAAATTCACTTACTTGCTTTTTATGGTTTTTAATGACTGGATGTTTAAAGGGTATTGCAAATCATATTACACAAACATTAAGCACTGGACCCATTCATCCCCATAGCCTAAGTTAGGGGAAAGAGTGAAGGACAAATACTGACTCTCATTTCCCTAAAAATATCTATTAGCAATTCTGGTTGTTTTTTAAAAAACAACCAAAAAAAAAGAAGCTTGACAATTATCTTAGTATACTAGTTACATCGAAGCAGCCCATAAAGTTTGAAGAAATGCATAATAAATGTTTATTTACTCTATAACTGTAAAAAGTTTCACTAGATCTACTCCACTTTTCTACAGACAGAAGGTAAGCAGAAATAGTTACTGCTACAAAGTGAATGAGGTATAACACAAAAACACAGGGTTGTTCTACAAATGCAGAAAGGCTTTAAACTTAAAACCAACCAAAATGCTGTTTATAGGATGCACACACACCATAAACATCACCCATGTGAGATGGGTATGCTTAAAATAGTAGTTTACTGAATAAAGAAAGTTGTAACTGACTAAAGCATACCTATACTGTTTTCTATCTGCAGGTTTACTGGCATGCAGAAAAGCTTCTAGTGTTTAATATTTAAGGCTCAGAATGGGAGAAGCTGTAAAAAGAAGGGAGAAGAAAAGGCTACAGAATGCTATACAGCATCCTGTATCCTTGTGGGTGTTGTCGGTGCTACTTTCCCCACCCCCCCCCCCCCCCATCTGTAAAACCCCACATGTCCAAGGCCACAATGCTTAATCAGAAGCTGCCATAATCAGATAAAGGGCAGCTCAGCGCATTCTAGTGATGCTGCTCAATTAATGAAATGCTGTTTGTTTTGATCAAGGCGTTGTGAACTTCCCAGTTTAAATCAGACTTCAGGTTTGAGACTATATATGCTCACGTTTCTACTACACAAGAAATAAACTTGCCTTTTTTATTGCCTTGCTACTCTCCAGAAGAGAAGAATGGCCTTTGTCCTCTATATACCAGTATTTTTCCAAATATTCACACTATGTAGGAAGGAGAAGATTTATGGGAATTAAGAACAAGGCTCAGGAAACTTGGATGTAGTGACCAGCTCTGTAGTAGGCCTTGAGAGATCCTAAATAATGATTCTTCAGCCAGAACCTGACAAGTGTGGACGCTTTTTCTGGGCTTAAGCACTCTTTATACTGCTATTGAATGATTTCTCTCTGCACCAGCTGCATAACCAGCTCTTACCTCAGTCACCATCATAAGAACTGCAAGGAAGGACAGCTGAGGAGCAGGAACATCAGAAAGAGATCAAGGACTAAGATATGGAACTGGCAGGAACTTCTAGAACGGGTGAGAAGTGGGTCCTCAGGCTACCTGCTGGGTTAGCTGGTAGTTCTCTGGGAAACACATTCTGGCCATAGGGTGGCAAGGGAATTGGGGACAATCATAAGGCTAGCATTTTTTTGGTTTAAGGGGATCCCTATCTGTATGTACAAGAACGGGTAACACAGCTTCTGCACCTCAGATAAAATAGAATAATTGTTTTCCTACTTCAGCTTGGGTTACGTATTAATCTTGCAAGACTTTCTTGCTAGAAAGCATTGGGTATATGCAAAGTCTTGTCACAATTAAGCAGGATTTTTTTTTTACTGAACAAAGTAAAAACCTGTAATGTGATGTGTCTACAGTCTACCAGGGAGCAGAGAAGAACAGAGCTTAGGTCTCCCAAATGCAGATATCTAAAATGGCTCACATACTGTTCTCTAAAAGGTGCAGCTTCTATTAAAAAGTTACAAAAAACTCTGGTCTGGATTTTGTAATGTAGATTTTTAAATATATAGCAGATTAAAATGAAGTTAATCCTATTTTCCAGAAATCATTCTTTTTTGATTCATTTTTTGGGTCCTAATGACCCTAAAATTGTGACAAGTTAACTTTTATAAATGAACAAAAGCTGGAGGTATTCAACACCTGAACATTCACTCTACTACCATGGAAAAATGTAAAAGCACAGAGAAAGCATGGATGAACTGTATGACTGAGAGAATTAAAAGATCTGCCTTTGTTTTCCTGTTCCTTAAGAACATAAAGAATTGACCAGTTTGTTTCAGTTCACTGAGAGTCAGAAATTCAGTAATATGTTACATACTTTTTAATATGCAGGCAACTCAGAAATTAATGGCAGGGTAAAACTTTAAAAAGTTAATGAATTATTTAGGGCTCTCTCTTAACTAAGCATTTTTTCAGGCATGTTTTTGAGTAGCTAAGTGTATTTGGAGACCTAGTTATTTTTCTCACAGTCTCTGCCATTAGCTCTTTATGTGCCTAGAAGTCTAACTAGCTGCAGCTAAGGATGCAGGCTGAAAACTTAACATAGATGAGTCACAATGGCTTAACAAGTTACCACCTGTCTCCTCAGCTGACATCACTCTCCATCACTGTTTTTTTTTCCCCCTGAAGTCAAGGCAAAATGCATGAGACTCAACCCCATTCATTACCACTTAAGCTAGGAAACCTAACTCTTCAGGCAATCTCAGAGCACGCACCCATGTAGTTACAGTGGCTTAGTAAACACATAATAGCTTTAATGAGCTTCTGTAACACAATTTAAGCCAATGGCCTTACTACAACACAGTGGCATTCTATTTCAGCAATTTAGCCTTTCGTATCTGCTCTAACTTTCACCCTGCTTTTCCTTAAGCCCAGCCAATATGAAGCTGCCCTTGATAAAGCAGTGTTGTTCTAGACATATGCTCATTTCTCATCCTGTACAGAGAGAGAGGTAGGAAGGGAAGAAACCCCAATATCAGCAATTGTAGCTAAATTAGATATGGTTATACCTATATAACACTTAGTGCTGGTTATTTTATCCCCCATTTCTTTTAAACGTCTCTTGCCACAAGCTCATTTTGCCCGATATAAGCAGCTTCTCTGCTAGGAAATGTATGGTATAATTTACAAAACTATTTCTGCATCACAAAAGCTACATAGACTGAGTCTTGGTAAATAAAATAGAACTTACGGTCAGCTTCTCTAAGGAGCTCAGCACATAATAGCTCACTTCACCGTGTACTTTTGAAAGCTGGACTGCATTAAGGTGTCTTTATGGGATCAGGGTTTGAAATAACTCAAATCCAGTATTTACTCTGAGTGTGCCTTAGCTCAAGAATAGAGACCTTGGCTCTTCCAGGGAGGGAGGGAGAAGTAATGAAGTGTAAGGAGGAAAGAGAAAGGTGAGATTGCCCTTTTCCCCCCATATGCTTTATGCTCCCCCCCCCCCCCCCCCCATGTACTCCTGAAGGATGTAGAGAAAAAAGCAAAGCAGGTCTCTATTGTCAGGAAGCAGACAATCCAAGACACAGCAGTTTACACTACTTTTTTTTTAAAAAAAAAAACATCAAGATGCTCAGGGAGGTCCTGTCCTCACCTTAAACACCGCCTTCTCTACTGCTGTGAAAATAGCTACATGCTACCCCTTGATTAGAGAGCAATCTCCATCCCTTAAGAAGAGATGGGTCATCCCTTACCTGGAACAGCACAACGTAGATCAAGAAGGGCTGACTTAATTGCTGAAGATTTGGTACAAATTTACACCTGTTCTGACTCAAGGGCTTGTGAAGTACCACAGAAGCTTTTTTATTTTTTGTAAAAATTAAGATACTTTTCCATATTGTAACTGCCCTGTTAACCTTATAGGGAATAGGATTCTATTCCCTTTTCATACAGCAGATGTGTTGTGGCCATTTTCATTTTGATCTGGTCTTGCAAAAGGCTATAACTTGATGCTGTCAGTGCTGCTTGTTGCTGTAGTAACAAAGTAGTGTATATACCTTCAAGAATCGTTGTTACAGAACTGCTGATTTCTCTAATATGATTAAAGAAAAAAAAAAAAAGAGTTGAAAGACTGTTTTGATTACATCTACTGCTTTGTGCTGCAACGCCATAAAAAAATATCAAACTTTAACGTTCTCTCTGGAATAAATATATGAGGAAGTAGAGTTTTCTCTATCATACCTGGCAGAATAAAGGTCTGAAATGTAACTTGCACTGGTATGGACACGCACTGCTGGGCTCAGGTCCTTGTTGGACCAACTGTGAATAATGACAATAAAGCCTACAGAATTATGCTGACATAATGTTTCTGTGAAGTTGTATCAATTCCCTACCCCTGGGCTAACTTGACACAGCGCTGTCAACATGTATGATGCAGCTGATGTTTGGTAGTGGTTTGGAGGTGGATACAAACTTCTGCTTTGAACTGGAGCTTTGTTAAATCAAGATCAACTTACTTTCGTTTCTGCTTCGTTCAGTGAAAAGGTGGACAAACAAGAAGATTCCTATTCTTGGAGTCTGCAAGCTCAGACAAGCTTGCTTACTGTAACATGGCTGTCTTCTTCCTTTCTGAACACACCAGCATGGCTACAATGACACTTGTATGTATAAGGCATTGTGGATAAGCTTAGTACAGAATGCAAGATGAGTTTCAGCAGTTCATATGTTTTGGAAATAATGACTTCTTTTCATATTGGACTTGCATTGGTATAAACTGAGCAGATAAAGACAAATTCTCTACATGGCAAATTCAAATTCAATAACAACAACATACTGGTGCAATAATCTGAATTTTAACCAGGAGAAAAAGCTGGGAAGAAGAGACTTTTTCCTCCCTCTATTCTCACTAACATTTCACTTTTAATTAAGCCTTAGGTTCTGTAGTCTGGTTCAGGTACTTTGAGTGCTATTAATGGACATCATAGTAGCAGCAGAAAGATTGACCTAACAGTGTTAATACAGTATTATTTGTTTAAAACAAACCTTCCATGTGAACTTTCACACATTATTATAAAACTGCAATTAAAATGATTTGTTACTCTGATTCTTAATTATTTAAAACCTAAATGTTTGCCTCATTAAGAATCTGGAAGGATCATTATGTTTAAACTGAGAATTGATATTGTTCATTCTCAGCCTCATAAAAACTCCAAGAAAAAAAAAAAAGAAAGAAAACATATGCAGTGGCAAAAACACTTCTCATTTGAAAAATTCTGTGTGGATGACAGTGGGAGTAGTAAAGAAATGTGGCTGCTGAGCAAAGAAGCTAACAGTGTTCAATAAGCATTTGAAGAAAAATGAGACTTCATGAATCAAATTCCATGTGTGAGCAGCTCACCTACAGCGAAGCTCAGAGCAATCAGAGCCACCCCACTGTAACTCGTAGGCTGTTACAGCTCTGCATCTAGCAGCTGTAATTGATGCACTGCAAACACCCCCAACACGTACACAGAACTGAGGGCCTCACACGCTTACAATGGAAAGAAAAACCTTGCTGTTTATGAAGGTATTCAGAGTTGTCTCCTTTCCTTCTCTTCCTTTCCTCTTTATTTTCTCATGTGATTACAACTACTACTGCTTGTGACATTCATCACTCTTTGCTGTTCAACCCTGTAATCAAGTCTCACTGTTAGATTTTTATTCCACTTCTACAACATAGCATCTCTACAACATTTGAAAACAATTTTGAAAATTGCAGAGTCCTGTTTGTTCTGTCCTCATTTTGTTAGGCTGTGTTATCTATTGCTGTGCAATATCAGGCCTTTCCCATCTCACGCTCTTGCTGAACCAAAAACAGCTATTAAAGACTTCACAGGAGTAAGTTATGCCTCCACAACAGCCTATTGTCCATCTCTGGAAATCAGACTCTTTTATGTTCTTTGGGTTGGCTTTTCCATACTCTGTGTTCAGTTTGTTTGTACAGGGCTCTCAATCAGCTTTTGGAGTATTTTCTAATATGCCAACATATCCAGAGTTTTACATTCCTCAGATGAAAACTCTGCTTGCGCTGAAGTTAACGGGAGCTTTGCTCCAAACAGTGTGCAAATTAATACCAAGTGCTGCCTTTGAGGCAGAGACTTCTACAGCATGCAGCAGTGCCCATGTAATGGTACCCATGGATAAGTATGGAGCACGGATAAGGACTGCAGAGCAGCATAGCAGGGACAGCCCACGCTCACGGGCAAAGCTGCCCTCCAGAAAAGCAACATGTGAGATCAGGTACCAGACTTTCCCTGCAATTTCACTTACACAAACCTTGACCTGCAATGTGTGGTAACTGATCAAAATTCAGAAAGATTGGCAATGATTCTACATCTCATTTTGAATTCAAAGTCTCAGGAATTTCTAAGTCACAGTAGGTGCTACCAAGAAATCATTTAGTACACTAAAAAATAACCAAAGCCTCAAAAGACATTCTTTTAACTGAAATTAACTGTTCTCAACTGAAACAGAACTGTTTCTGAAGAAGCCTATGTTTACCGATGTTTCTTTCTATATTTAATAATTCATTCTTACTAAAGTGATTATTTGAGCTTCAGAAAAAACTTAAAAGCAGTCACTAAAACATGAATATAACCATTTACAGAAATTCAGATTTAGAAGTCTCTTATCATCACTCTATATTGTCTATTTTTGATGCCTAACACTTAGAAATCTAAAAGAATTACTGATGTCTATTCCAAATACTTATATGAAGTGTTCATAATAACATAAAGTACGCTAGAGGAAAGTGCAATCACTCCATACTTAAAAAGCAGCAGTGAAGTTTTATTCTTAAAGCAATGTAAGTTCTCCTGCCTGCAAAAAACACAAGTGAATACCTCCAAGAGTAGCTTAATCTCTTGAGGTTTCTTTTAATATTCTTAACATTGACTAAGTTTGAAACTGATTAATATTAACTTCTTTACCAGAAAGAATTGATTTGAGTGAGTATTGGGTTAGAGAAGACCATCAAAACTTTTGTTAAAACTGTATCTGTGTCCTAAAACCCAGATGTCAAGTTCCCCAAGGCTGGGGCTGTTCAGTTCAGTTCTGACACTCAGAGGAGTGGCCAAATCCTGCCCTGCTGCAACCATTTCTCCTAGATGAACACCTTCTTCCTTATAGAGCTCTGTCAGTCCCAGCTTTGTCTGGGGTCTACAATATATTTCTACAATTGATGAGGAAACCACAATGTATTTCTACAAGTCACCAGTTTATAAGTGACTAGTGACCTCAGTGTTGGAAACATGGATTCCTCATATAGCCTATATCTCACAATACTTCCATGTTCTTCTTAACCCATTCAAGGAAACTAAGAAAGGAGAGTGGTAAAAATAAAATTAAAAAAAAAAAAATATCAAGGTCAGAGTGGCAAAGACAGAGTCCTGAAAAAGTATCAGGATGCACAGTAGCAATTGCCATCTGGCACTTGGTACTTCATATTATAATACAGCTAAGCTATTTTTAAAGAGTTAAAAGTACATTGATGTATAACAAAGCACAAAGAGCACTGCAATAGTAATGGCTTTGTTAGAAATCAGAAATACAGTTCTGAAGCAACTCCAGGTTCAGTAGTTCCCATTACTACACTACCATCAACTTCAGAGAACTCTGCCTGAGCAGACTACACACTTCCCAGACAGACATAAATAAAATCAGCTCCAAGAATGCCTTTAATATAGCTTAACTTAACAGCACCCAGCCATATGGCCAAACCACAACCAATTCAAAGAACATCTTGAAATACAACAGGGAGCTCAGGTCTTCAGCCCCTACTACTTCACCATGAAATTTGCTTCTACTGATTGATACTTCCTGATCTAGGCACAGACCTAACTTCAAGCCACATCCTGCAGTCCTTACTTACAGAAAGCCATACAAACAGATGAGAAATTGGTCTAAGTAATGACTTACATTTGTGTTACCTGCATTCTGTAAGATCCCCTAAAAGGGGCCTGCAACTTAACATAATGCTTTCAGAAGAGCTAGGCATAAATTCTCTTTCCCCAAGCACCATCCTTCAACAAACTGAGATTTAAATGGGTTAATTACCTGAAATCCTCCTGCTTTCATATAGGAATTTGCTGGGCAGCATGAGCCAAAGTCTGCTTTTATTTTTGGAGTATGCTCTTCTTGTCCTGCGATTTGAACCTCACCTATAAATCAAAAGGATGCCTTTAAATTCCGCAGCACTGTGCCTCTGCACTGGTTCCTAGAAACACTGAAATCTAAAGAAAAATCTCTGTACAATTAGCTGACCTGGCATTGTAACTACAGCAAGCTCAGTTTTCTAGCAGGAAAAACTTTCTGCCAGGTGGGACTGATAGACAGTGGTAAAATCTCTGCTACCTCTCCAGCTGTAATTAGTGAGGCATTAAACTCACCTGCAAGCCCCAAAAAACTGGCAAAGATGGTGGGGCTTTCCAGGGAAGCTAGTCTCCGAGTTAATTATTTTGTTAAGGTTTGACGTTATGTGCTGAAGCTTGTCTGGTCAAAATCTCTGATATCTGGACTTCCAGAAAATTAGTGATATTGTGTCACTGTGAGTTTAATCCCTGTGGGATTCAGCTGCCTGGCTTTCAGGCCTTGCCTCCCTATCCAAGCACATCAATAGAAGTGAGCTTCTCCTCTCCGGTGTGTGGAACAGGCAGTTAAAGTTTAAAAGAAACAATTAACTCCTAATTAAATTCCTAGACCTCTTCACTGCTAGCAGAGGAATACCAATGGAGATGGGGAGCAGAAAACGACAGAAAACCAGTACTGTTTTCTACACAGGTCCTTTCCAAGGCCTACAGTTCTGCAACAGCCTGCTCACTGCCTTAAGGACTCAAAACTGAGTGTGGGTCCTACTTTGTGCCAACCCACCTCTGTGTCAGAGTACCAAACTCAAGACCTAGCAGGGGTGACAGCAAGAACAGCTCTGTGGGGACATCATAAGGGACCATAAGCATTTCCCTGTGTCCTGGCTCTCCCTGCATGCCAAACCAGCCCACGCACATTTCTGCAAAGCCTGGTTTCTGTGAGGTGCTGGCGCTGTACTGGAACCACTAGAACTGTCAAATGAAGCAATCTGCTCTACTTTTGACAGCAACTGAACTTTCATTTCAGTTGAAAGATAGAGTGACTGGAAAATGGCAGTGAGCGTGCAGCAGCTGCTCTGTAAAACCTACCCATTCCTCCACACTGGAGGGCACCTTCAGCAGCAGCTGGGCCCCTGCGGCCTGAAAAAGCTGATGCAGCCACACAGGCTGTGACTGTTTTCTCAGCCTGCTCCATCCCAGTCTGTGACTAACATCATCCAATAAATGCCTGCTTGCTTGCAAATGGACTTACTTCTAAGTCCAGCAACAGTGGCTGCAGTTATTTCTGACTGCCCGAATCCCATTTCCCTTTGCATTTACAGTTATTTGCTGTAATCAGAGCTATGCGTCCACACGTACTGCCAGCTCCTGAGCACTCTTGCAAACAAGGTAATGTCCCTATTGTTTCCAGAAAGCATGTTGTTGTTGTTGACAATTTGCTGTCATGGACTTTGAAACCTCTCAGGTATACACTGGAATGAAATTACCATACTTAAAACCAATTTACTTAATTCAAAGGATGTGGTGTTTTTAATAAGTCCACCCTTTATGTAAATAGCATGTTTTTTTTTTTTCTTTAAAAAAAGTAGCCCACCACAATAACCTCATTTTCTGGAGGAGTACTGTCATATGGAAATTTAATTGCACAGTGAGGGAAGATAATTACTACAAAAATCATGCAAACATTTGAGTTGGAAAGGACCTTTAAAGATCATCTAGTCCCACTCCCCTGCAATGAACAGGGACACCTACAACTTGATCAGGGTGCTCAGTGTCTGGTCCATCCTGTATGGCAGTGACTGAGAAAGGAGAGGGTACATACTATCTTTTCCAGATGACAGAGCTTACAACTGAAGTCTATTAAAGACCTTAAGAAGCCTCCAAAATAAGCTAGTGAAAGTCACAATGACATCTGGCCCTGCACCTCACAAAACTAAGCACAGATTCCTGAAATTTCCAGCTCAAAGTTTAACCTGGGGGAAGCACTTTTGGTTTCATGGACAGCGAAGACCAATTAAAAGAAGAATAGACAGGAAGAGTCTGGCAGGCAATTGGATCAACCTAGCACATAGAAGCTGTAAATTGATTTAAATGCAGCATGGGTATCTTTCCCCCTCTCCCACAAGGGACAAAAACATTTTAACATCAGAATACTTACAGACAAGGGCTTTAAAGCAAAGCAAACAGCCTTGATTCCAAATAAAATTGTACTGACAAATCTGTTTTATCACAGTATAATGGTAATAACCACCACTAGATAGGGCCAGACTGAATTTAGAAGAGAGTTTCTATAATTAGTATGAAAACCATATTTGGTACTCAAATTAAGGGCTGTTTTGCTTAACTATAAAGAAGCCATATTGGAGAACTTAACAAATTCATTCCAACAAAACACAGCTGTAATTAACAGCCTGTAAGTGCCATATTCCTCTTGTTCTATGTTGTATTTGGAGATTTGGTACAGGTTTGTTTTTTTTTTTTCCTTCATTGTGTGAAGCTTTTTTTAGCTACTAGACTGCAATAATGATTGATTACAGAGACCAACACTCACAACAGTTAACTGTTGATGCAGGTATCGAGAGACCATTACTCTTTTTTGGTAAAAGGGAGAGCACAGTATAAACATAGTAAGAATGAATAATTACCATACAGAGTTAAAGAGTGTAAGTTTTTTTTTTTTTTTTTTTTTTTGTTTTTTTGTTTTTAAAAAGTTGTAGTAATTGAACAGATCAATATGATAGGAGAAGTTATACAATAAAGGTGTGATAACAGAAGGACCAACACGCTAGAAAAGTAATATAAGGGAAGGGAAGAAGATTGCTCACCTGTATCAGAATAATCTTGGTTTGAAGGAAAAACTTCACAAAGGAGGGACCTCCAGAAAGAGATCCTTCTCGTGGGGCAGTCAGCCCTTAAATGAGGTTTAAGAGAGGTGCAGCCAGGCTTCACCCCTTCTGGTAACGCAGCTGAATTGCCTTCACCTGTGCTCCCAGGGCTGACTGGGTCCTTTTCCCAGGTGCTCAATCAGTGGTTCAGGCCATGACTCAACAGTTTCCATACAACAGTATAACAAAAATCACTATCGTTAAAGCTCAGCTGTGCATGAAGTATGTTCCTCAATAAAATGAACAGTATTTATTTAAAATACACACTTGTTAACACACTCATTTACTAATTCCTATACTATACTATAAAGTAGTTCAGGATGTAAGTTTACAGTTAACTGCTTTATACCAGTAGAAGATATAGGCTATTTTCTCCAGATATTTCTGAACGTGTATTATATAAAATGCTTCAGTCTATACCTAATTAAGCAGATAAATAAATCCTATTGAAGCTAAAGAAGCTACTGATGCGATTAAAGGTGATACATTCAAATTCTTCTTGGAATTCAGATCCGAAATCTTAACTCCATCTGCAATCTGCAATGCATTTAGGTAGCTTTAGACACTTACTTAAATCAATAGGATTAGATGCTTGCTTGAAGTTAGCAATGAATTTAAATGCCGTGCTAAAAAGGAAAGTACTCGTACAACAGATTAGCTGTGGTTGAAATTTTGCAATAATTATTGAGGAATGTTTTTGAGAAACTGAAATATGCTCATTTTTCCATTAACTTTAAGCAAACTTACAGACAAAAGAAAATATAATGAGTTCAGTTTTCTTCATCTCAGTACCTTATATTCCATCATCTTCTTTCAATGAGGAAAAAGTCATGGAAAAGGAAGGGAATTCTTTTTCCAGTCTGGGGGTAGCAGAGTAGGGGAATATTAAGTTCCAAGTTCCTGATATTAGAAAAAAAATAGGTATTTTCTAATTAAGTAGTTCTGCATAGCAATACATCATTGATTTTGTGTTTTTCTAACTGGGCAAGTTGAACGTAAGACTTATGGAAGGTCACTTTTGCTGACATGAATGTCTTTGTTTTTCTATCACTTCCAACTTTTTTTTCATGGCTATCAGATCAGATGAACTGGAACCCCAGATCGAAGTGTGAGAGGGAAGAAACGAAACAAAACAAAAAAAAACAAAACAAAAAAAAGCCAAGCCAGCATTTGTATTAAGAAACATTTTTATTAACAAAACAGTAAATTCCACTTGCTTAGCATTTCCGATAATGAATAAATTGGCCTTGCAACAAATAAAAAAATCGTAAATATATATCACAGAAAGCACTATAAGGTTAGGGGCATTGGGCCTCTCTTCGATGTCTTAGGGTTGAAAGTTTCACACATTATTTAGTGTTTTGTTAAAAAAGGCAACACAATACAGTCATAGAAATGAAGCCATCTCAGTCAAACAAATTAGATTATTATAGAGTAGGGATCCAATTTTATGTTAGGTAGTTGTTTTATGTCTATTTGCTTGTTGTTGCTGCTGTTTTTAAACACAAAGGAATATTAAATCCATTTGCTGGCACTTCTGATATATCCGTATTTGTTTTTTGCTAAATTACAAAATTAAAGAGGAAATAGGAGAACCTTCAGAAACAGTATTAAAATTGTGTTTGTTTCTTATGGTAGTAACAGAACTTTTTTTCCTTGATGTGTGGATTTATTTAAAGATTAATCTACCAAACTGCCTGGAAGTTGACCTAACCATGCTATTTCATGAATGCAATCAATACCAAGCAGAAAAGACCATTCCATCTCACCCAAACCGTATTCTGCTTTGTCCCATCTCCTACCATCAGTTTATTCTTGTTTTTCCACATTTCTTCAGGCAATGAAATCTTTCAATACTGACCACCACCTGGCTTTCAACTTCTCTCCTGCCTCCAGCTCAAGTCTCTTGCTCCCAGCAATGACCATCAGTATAACTTACCCTGCCTTTCCCTGAGTACAGCTGTCTTGCAAAGGTGGGAGGAATTAAATGCCGTAGGTGAACAACCATCTATGCAATTTTGAATAAATTTTGTGAAGCTGTTCTCATTTCTCTGAAAAAAAAAAAAAATCATTTCATAAATACAACATAACACACCTTGTTGAGGTTGCCAACCTTCAAAAGAGGCATTTTTGTGTCAGCTACATGTATTTTTAAGGTGCTCTGACTCCCAGACAGATAGCTGTACCAGTTTTGTGCCTGCTGTTTAAAGCTGATTTTATATTCCTCCTTCCTGCCTGTAAAGTGTGAACATCTATATTCCGTCTCAGGAGGCCTTCCAATGATTTGGTTGGATTTCCATCAAACTACCCTCTTTCTGTCTAATGTATTCCCTTTGAACTTCCATGTAAATAAAATGTTACGCTATGATTTATTGCTGTGAACCTAACAAAACAATACTGTAAAAAAATAATAAATCAAAACAACCCTTTAGCATGTAAATTATAGCATTAGATTTAATACATTTAACTAAAATGCATTAATGCTTTATATATGCGAGAAAAGCTATTATTTTAAAACATGATGAACTTATATTTATCTGGTTATGACGCCTTGCAATACTGCACAATCAACTTAGCTAAATAATATTTTTTATGTGTCAAAATGCCCACCATTGAAAAACACTATCGTGCACCTCAAGATTATTTCTTTTAGAGAAAGGGGTAAATTCTGCAGTAGATTCAGCCTGGATAATTAAAATGGGTCTTTGTAGATCTTATACCACTCAATGATGTAGTAACTGCTGTTCGTAAAACTGAATGCCAGATTAACACTATATGATACTTCCTAAGATTCTCAAGAAACTCATCATTCTCATGATTTTGTAAGAAGAGGTTCCTGTAAGGCAAACCATGCTCTTCAATAGTGAAGCTCTGACTGTAAGCCAAAGATCAGTCTCTAAATATTTAGCTAATTAATGAAAGTATATTTCTAGGAAATTTGGCCATTCTGATCAACTTCATTGATGCATAATCGGGAGCGAGAGATGGGGATAGGAGGGAGAAGAAAAATTACAATAGGTATATATTTTTGCTTTCTAGTCCACTTCTTTCATACAAACTACGAGAACTTAATTGCAACAGAATAGAGGCTGTACAGGTAAGAAAAAAATTAGCTGACTCTTATATACATTCATACACGTCCCCCTTAGTATAACCACTACACTGTAAATTAAAATGAAAAAAAGAAAAAGAAAAATCAAAGGAAAAAAAAGTCTGTGACAATTTATAATGGCTGCAAAAAAACTGAAGTATGTCTGTTGCTCCAGATGTCATAAAACTCTCTATACCTAGCAACACTTATAACATTGAGTTTACCAAAAATGGCTGAAGAGCGGATATAGTTTGCATTTTCTATACAACAGGCTATAAAACATCACTTATCACAGTCCAGAAAGCACATATAGATGTGTTTTTATATAAACATATGTAATAACATATTAAGCGTGCATGAAAATTTCCCAATGATTGCATCTATGCCCTCTTGTTTCCTCGTCTTTCTTTCGTTTTTTATTTTTTATTTTTGTGGAAATGTGCCTTATATTCCAGATTTTTGTTTTGTTTTGTTTTTGAAAATAAGGCCTCCGTACTATTTTCCTCACAACCAGAAAGGGGCTTTTTGAAAGTATTTCTACATAAGTCTTCAGAAAAGCCAGCACTTTGTTTCAAATGCAAGTTTCCAATCACTGCTTCACTGCACCAGACGGCAAACTGTCTATGTTTGCTTGTTGAGTCACCATATATAATGACAGTCTTCTCTGACAATAAGACTAACTCACTTCTCAAGAAAGCACTAGCACTTTGGCTAAATCCAGAATCATAGGTAGCTTCTTTTTTCTGTTTTTTTTTTTTTTTTCCTGTTTTGTTTTGTTTTAAATTTGTTTTGTTTCATATTGTGCCTTGATGTTGTAGTAATACTCCTTGCTTTATGAATGCGTGGTGCCATCATTGTCTTTCAGAACTGTTCCAGCAACATAAAGACAGGCAGAGTAAATGAAAACACTGTGGATGTTAGGGAATTTATCAGCTCCCGTTTCTGAAAAACAAGAGCATGAAATGCTTGTTTTTAAAAACAGTCTTTCCTTTCTGATTGCATTCCCTGTCTTTTTTGTTTGTTTTTGAATGTGCTTCATAAAAAGTAAAGTAAATAAGTTTGTATTATGTCTCAGATAAAATGAAGACTATTTCTATACAAGCGTTCATTTAGATGTTGAGATCAGACATAGTACTCCTTATCCTTATTTTTCTTGTTTTTGTTGGAACTTTTAGCGCTGTTGGGCTGTTTTTCCTTGATTACAGCCCCATTGGATTGTGCTGAGTTACTGATGTAGTTTCGACTCTCGTCTACGTGATACGATCCTTCGTCTCGGTTCCTGTACTTGTACATGGCATACAGGAGAATGAGGATACACAGCGCTGCTGCCGCCACGATCCCAACTACCATGCCTGTTGTGCTGCTGGATTCACGAATCACCTCAGATGAGCCAGGATACTCCCTTCCTCCTCCTGCCCTGGTAGGATTTGCTGTAGGTAGATAATGAAATAAGGGAGTGGTTATTATTGAGTTTGCACATTGAAGAGTTAGTCATATCTACATGCTACTACTGTGCATCTTTCTCATGGCACTCACTAGGTCGGGACTGTCTGCCAATGCCCCCTACCCTACTGGTCCTGAAGCGTTCTGGTTTGCAGCCTATTCTATTCTTATGTCTGTTAGAATAATGAGGAATAATGAGGCTTTAAACAAGGAAAAGAGCAACAAGGAAAATGTAACAGTAGCCTTCAGAAGTACCATTTCTCCAAGCGTTGTTATTAAGCAAAGAATAAGGCATGCCTGAATCTAAGTGCCAGCACACTGGTCTGGGAAGAAAGGCTCTCTCCCTTTTCCTTTGCCACTTTTTGTAAAGAACAAAAAGCAACTCTTTTGTAGTTACTGTGAGAACAGTGATAGTGACAATAAAACATACAAGCAAAAAGAATGGGGGGAAGAATCAAAATTCCCCATAATAAAAAATGATTGCAGTAAATAAGCTGGCTACAAATAAAGTATTCTCAGTTATTCTTTAAATCCCTGTCAACAAGCTTCTCAATTCCTCCTTTCCTTCTATTGTTCTTTTCATAATTATACTTCTCTTTATTTTTGAATGCTCTCAACTCCACCTTTCTCTTTCATCGTTCACAGCCTTCCTTGAATGTGGTTGCACTTTAGAGAACTTTTTCACTCAGTTTCTCTCTTCCTTCTTTTCTTCACTGACCAGACGTTCCCAACGCCAGAAAAACCTCTCAAATGACACAGAGCGAGGGTTTAGCCTTCTGAAAACCCACATCTCAGGCCAGATTCTTTTCAGTTATATGAACAGAACCGACCAACCTGTGAAGTCTTCTCGATAGGAACTATTGTGCTGTCTGACATATTTTATCCCCTTGCACAACCATGTGAATGAAAGCCAATTCCAGAAGGAATTTTTAGGTTAAATGCCCACATCACATGCAATGCACATACATCTCCCATGATACCCTTTCTTTATTTCACTTAGCAGAATGAAGGAGGGCAGGTTCTTTGTGTAGGATTTCTCTGAGTGGCAGTAAGTGTCATGTTTTATGGAAGATATATCTCAGACAACAACAAAGTGACCTGGGTCTGTACAGCATTTCACTAATTATACCAGCATATCTAAAGCCCCAAGAGGCTGTGAACCCTAGCAGTGCCAGCCTTGGCTGAGCTCAGGAGCCAGAAAAGAGCAGTGAGTGAACCAAGGCTTCCCACGGAATAGAGCAAAACACTTTCATTGAACATCTAGCCTGGCTTACAGAAACTACATTTTAAATAATTATACGTTATACAGTCAGTATAGTATAAGTGTTATTTAAGAGTATGTATAAAAGCTAGGTTTACAACATATCCATACTGTCAGCTTGATCAGTCCTTGCTACAACAAGCACTTTAGAGAATATTTAGAGTAGGGTCTTGTTTAAGGTGTACAAAGGCATACTATGCCCCAAGGTTACTTTTGCACAGTAGATGTGATGGAAAGATGATGATTTCAAGCATGCTACATTAAAGATAACACCACATCTACACTGGTGAGACAATTACAATGAGTTTGCACAACCAGAATTAAAAGCGTCCACTAGCTGCTTTGCTGTGCTTTCCAATGCTTTCCCATTGACTTCCTCAAGTCTGTGAGTTATAAAACAGCAAAAAAAGCCACAAACCTTGAAAAAAACAAAGCTGCCTCTCTACTTTGCTATTACTCATTAATTATTTACTGGTGATTTGTGTTGCTACTGTTAGAAAGCCGCTTCCTGGCAGCTGTCCCCTGTAAGTTCAAAGAAGGTGACATTTTATTTGGCTGAAAGAACAGAGTTGCTACAGAGAGTTTCAAGAGAAGTGCCATTTGTGTCAAATAGTATTTTAATTTTATAATCTTTTTCCTCTGCAACTTCTTAGTTGTTACAAGTTGGTACAATTGATCTATTCCACAACTGGTTGTCACAGAACCAACTTTGCTTCAAAAAGCTCAAGAACTTTTTCTCATTTCAGAGTACATGTCACCCTACTAAGAACTGGGGCCTAGCTCCAAGTTGTGAGCATATTAGATCCTATTTCTTCGTTGTGTCTATTGTAGCAAATGGAAATTATTTTACATATAAGGTGTAAAGACATTGGAGTTGGAGTAGAATGGTCAGGATGCGGTTGGACTTGATTTTTAAGATCTTTTCCAACCTAAGCAATAGAATAGACTCCTAGTATTTTCATAGCGAATGAAAATGAGACAGTCTTATGTTACTGCATGTGGGTTCAGGAAAATGAATTACTGAGAAATAATAGAAGAAACTGAATAAACTCTGTTAATACCTGATGGACTAACAGATTCTCATTCTCCTGAAAATACACGCATTTGGACCAAACACCATCACTAATGTTAAAATTAAATTAACATCCACTAAATGACAATAACCCATCTATAGGGAAATTATCTTTTAACACTGCATCCTGAAAAACATGTAAGGAACAACTTTCATCATTACCTAAACTATTGCCTTTCACCTGATGGCATCCTTTTATTTTTAAGAATGTTTTCACAATTATCTCATTTAGCCCATCTGTCTGAGGACCATTCAACCAATACAACAATTTCGTTTAAACTTAAAACATTTTCAAAGCATCTGCTGTTACATTTGTTTGGATTTTTGTAAAAGGAGCAGTTCAGCAAAGGAAATGCCTTCTTGCTATTTTTCTTCTGCTTATGTTAAAATACACCTTTAACCTAGCAGGACCTTCCAAGGCAAATGAAGTAGAAGGAAATAAGAGGAAAGTTTTAAAAAGCACATGGGTTTGTCTGTGAGCATTGCAGCTGGAAAGGCTCAGTGCTATAAAGTGCTATACAGCAAGTGTCCTATATCCAGACAGAGAGGAAAAGGCCAACAAAAGCTTCCTCTGTATCTTATGTAAATAAGCAAATCTCCACCCATTAACACTGCTGGAAAACAGCTGCCTCTTATTTAAGCAGGACCTTCATGTGAATTTACCTGGATATCTTCTCCCCTGCAAGAGAGGAACTATTGCAAGCATGCACAACAGATGACATAGTTGGAGAGCAAGTAACAGTTAGCAGGTTACAGAAATCTTGCTCTTTGCTTCCCAACACTATGAGAAACACATGATGCAGATTTCAGCCCAGGATCTTTGCAGCTGAACCAGGTCATTGGCTCCTGTTTTTTGAATGATAAGCTAGCATTTTTGGAGGTGGATCAAGATTAAATATAATAAAAACCCCCAATATTTAAGTATAAAAGTCATGAAAATATTCTAAAAACAATCTATCTGAAGTTGAAGATACTGAAATGAGGATCAAGAGAAAAGTGTTAGGACTGTGACCATGTGCAGACCACATCACCACAGTGAGAAAAAATAAAAAGACCCATTGTGGTGCAATGATCCCATCTTACAGCATCTGCTCTGAAGCACAAATCTTCTCAACAGCATACGACAAGCATTTTTGGACTACCTCAAAGGCCAGCTTAGAACAGACTTTTAAAAGCCTCTTCTACCACTTATGAAGAAAACTTAAATACTGAAATAATAGCAATTGAACACAGTTTAGCATTGTGTAGTAATGGATTAGAAAGTTATTATTCTTGCCTGTACTTCTAAAGCGGTTTAAAATTTAAAGGGAAAAAGCTAGCTATTTTCAGTGCCCAGTTTTCATTAATACTGTGAAAAGAAAATTGGAATTGCAGGCTCCCATGGTGTTTGTGAATTGAAATTAGCAGACTTAAAAACAAAACAAAAAATCCAGCAAATGGACCCCAAAAGTGTTTTCTTTACATTTATACCTTCCCACAAACTGTGAATAGGAAATTACTCACAAGACAAGAATGTTTAACTACTCTGTTTGCAATGAGGCATGAAGGCAATTATTTACAAGACACACATTAATTTTCACTCTGCATGTTATCATTGTAGACCTGTTTGTGGTTGATTTTCTGCAGCATTGTTGGATTCTAGTGAACTGGTTTCTGTGCTCGCTGCAATTTCAATGTCTCATTACAAAGACTGTGTCAGAAAAACAAACTTCAGTGCTTCCTTTGCTGAACAAGTGGAATAGGTGCAACTGCAAAAACAGGATGAGGATCTGCTACAAACTTGCAAGCCCACCCTGGTCTGAATACAGGGATATTTCAGCCTACTGCCTTCCTCGTTGGCCTCAATTAGCTCTTGAAAGGAGGCAAAAATGGGGACCCTAGGGTCTGTCCAGCAAAGAACAAGCTGTCATGGGAGGGAAAGAGCAGGAGGTAATTCCTCTGAGTTGAATCTCAGTGACCAATTTTTATCAGACTTGGAATTGTCTGTATCCAATGGCACATGTAATCCACGTGAGAGAGATACCACAAAGCAAATGCATTGCTGAACATACATGCTGCATTCCTTGGTCATTTTGACATCAGAATTCAAAGAGAATGGGAGCTGAGAGATGCACATAAAACTGATAGAGACGTGGTGGAAAGGCGTGGTGCTTGGGAGTGGAGCAACACATTTCCCACCTTGAATAACGTCAATGCATTTGCTCAAAAAAAAATCTGTCAGACGCTTGCTGAGTTTAAGAGAACAAGATAATAACTTACTTTCAAAGGTGCTTCAGATAAAATTATTGCGCTATCTGTACTACTCTTTGGTGCACAAAGTCAGATTCTTTGCTTCCTACGAATCAAAATCTTGCACGTTTTTAGTAGGAAATATATAATGCATTAACATGCCTCTAAAGTGATGCTAACTAATTTTGCTACTCATAAAAGTAGTTGAGCAGCAAAACAGCATCCACAGATAAAAACAGTAATTCCTATATTAGGAAGCAATGCATTCCCTCTTTGCACAGAATACGGCGTTTATTTCCAAGTACAGTGACCTGCCATACTGACATCAAATGATTTATAAATTCTATCACCATCTTACGACTTCAGGTTTTGTGCATAGAGTATTTTTTTTTCCTGTGGTTGAGACATGGGAAAGTGATCTCGAC